AGGGGAGACTGAATAAAAAGAAACAGGAAAAGATCAAAAACCAAAAAAATCACTAGCGGTGCATTTATTCCCTGATTTCAAAACTGCGCAGCCATCAAGCGGGCGCTGTGATCAATGAGTTCAGGGTTGTAACTCGAGCAAGCCCTGTTGCTCTCTCCTGCCCGATTCTCAGTCGTGTTTACGTGCCACTGAAGGACAAACGCCGGGGCTAGGTCTGATTTATTCCCGAGGTTTTCCACCTCTCTATCAGCCCCTAGCGGCCAGAGCTCCCCTTGCACGCCTCATTGTTTGCAAACGCTCCCCCTCCTTCCCCCGGCGTGCACCCTTTTTGTATTAATGTATTAATTATTGAAAGAAATATTCCAACGCTGAATAATACATATGCTGGCTAATAAAATGTAGAGATTAAGTCAATGCTAAAGGCTCTGTCTTTTTTTTTTTTTTCTTTCTCCCCCCTAAGAAAGAAAAATATGCTGCAGAGACACTGGAGGGAATTTGGGAATTTCAAAATGAAGCAGAGCACCGAAGTTTAAATGGAAACAGGAAGAGCCGTGTCTACCTGGATTCTGCTGATGTTTTGCTCTCTGGTCCCCCAAATCGAACCATCAAAATAAAGAACGTCTTTGAACCGCCCATGCCGCACCGCATCCAAGCCACGAGGTAACTCGGAGCAGCAATGCTGAAACAAACCTGGATCGTGCAACTGGATCCGGTCAATATTTTACCTCGAATTCTGCTTCTTAAATATAAAATCTTATTTTTTTCTTTCTATGATATTTTCTGTTCTTCTATGTCAGTCTTCTTCTCTTTACAAAATGACCCCGTCATATCTTTGTGTATGAGTACTGCAAAATCCCACAACTACCATCTCTGTCTGGCCAGATTCATCCAGACTTGTTCTTCACCCCTCATTTTCCTGAAGAGGAACAAAGGACCAGTGTAGTGCTGCTTCAGCGCCAAAATCTGTACAACCCAGGTAGATTCTCCCCACCCATTATTGGGCATCATGAAAATGCTTATCCAGCACCTGGCTGAGTCTTGAACAGATTTGGCCACAGACCTCAAATTCTATCAGTTTAATAGAAATCAAGGGTAGTTACTCCTACATGGCTAAAAAAAACCCAAACAACTAGATCATATTGTATCTTTATCCATCACACTAGGAAACACAGAAATGACATATGAATCCAACCAATTTTTAATCAGAATCTCCCAAATTCCCTTGTAAAAAATAGTGGAAAAATGTAACTGTTCCTCATGCACCCCCCCCCCCCCAAAA